GGTGCCTCTTTGCACATCAGTGAGTTCCTCTGAACTTACAGTCTCCATTGGAACTGAAACTATAACATATGAGGTATACAGATAATTGGATGCTCTGCTTGTACTTCTTATATTTCCTCTATGATCTTGAAGAATTAAGTTTTCTCATCAAAGAGATTTTGTTTTGTCTCTCAGGCAGAGGACCAATACGGAGTGTTGATTTTCAACTGTTTGTGTGATGACCTGAGTTACTTTTTGTGCCACTGCCACCGGTGACCTATGCGCTCAACTCTTTGAATTATGCATGGTGATTATACAATGTAGTCCTCTGAATTGTAAATTCTCACAATTATACAGCCCATTGTCTATTCATTATTTCAAAACGAATGGGAAATTATGTAAAACTATCTCTAAAGAGGAAAGCAGCGTGTAATATGACTTGCCATATTGTTCATGCAATTCAAATACTTTGCTTTTTCCGAAAGATGAAAGTAATCAGATTTGGATGAAATCTGACTCGCATGTCATGTGGGATTATGATACATTGGGAAGATAAGCTATGATAACTACACTATGTGCCGTGAGGTAAGCGCACTCAGGCAAAGAGTGGTTTCCAATTAACTTGAACTTCCTTCAAGGTTAAATATACAAGTGTTGACTGAGAGTCAAACTTATGTTCTTATCTCAACCAGACGAGAGAAGGACTTCAACATGTCCCACAGCGTCTCTGTGGACTTTCTTTTCTGATCCCTTCACACAAGCAGCATATACAGTACGCACTCTGTGTATTTACACAGATGCCAAAACTATGATTGTCATATATTATCAATGTTTGTAAAGTTTGAGACCTATGGCCGTTTGTTCCACCACACATTTGTGAGCTTTCGTGCCTTATAGAGCACATAACCCACACGCAACTTCAGATCCTGCAGCAAAACTCTGGCAGCAGTCCTCTCGTCTAGACTCAAAACTAAAGGCGCATTCACTCTCAGGGGCCCCAACTCAGCTGTTCAAAGTCTGGTGCCTTCCTCTAAATCTCTAATATAATCTACTTTCTACGGATTTGTTTTTCTGCATTAGGTGGTCTTTTTTTTCCCCACCGTGTCACTTCTAAAGACCCCCTCTCAAGAATGTGTTTTGCTTATTGATGGATGTTTGACTTTTCGCTGCACAGAATGATGTATGTGCAGTTTGATCATGGGAATCTGTTTTCACATTCGTCTGTTTAACACGTGTGCGTGCGTGCGAGCAAGCACGGTTCTGTGACATCACAACTAGTTTGGAAACCGATCTCGGTTCAATATGCAACTTGTACAAGAGGGATGTGGAGACTTGAACCTCCAGCTCAAATGGACTTTTGTATATAAATGGACTATTCTGTGAAGTAGTACACATCTTTTGTACAACAGCAACATTTTTTAAATTAACAATATTAACATATTCATAGATTCTGGTTTTTATTTTTGTAATTTTATAATTTTTTTAATCGGGTAATTGAACTTTTTTGTAGAAAACATATTAGGCACAAAGTATTGTTGATTGCAGGGTATTTTTCTGTCTTACATGTCTGGAGGGAATCTTTAACTTTTTCTTTATATTGTCAAAATACATTATTTTATGTTATTTCATTGTTTAGCATGTTTTTACATAAAGCACTATTTATAGTAATTTTGGTTTGAACGGTGCAACACAAATAACGGTTATTATTGTATTAAGTTTTTTAATATGACACGTTTTTTATAATCGCTAACGTACTTTTGTCCAATCTGAAGTCGCATTTTCAAAACTCTCAATTAAAACAATTAGGACATCAGTCTGTTGGGGATCATACCATTAATGCAATACATGTTGTTATTGATGTAATATGTTCTCAGTTAACACGTTTCTAAAATGCTTTAATTGTCATTACATACAAGCTTACCCAATACCAAAACCTAATGTTGCTTAAGATTTCTAATGCACAATTTTGAAAACATGGCTCTTTCTGTTTAAACACTAGACACAATTCATACAACCACACACACAATTAGTGGGACATCTTAGATCTTTTGCAAAATGAAACACTTTATTCAAAACTAAACAATAATTTATAAAAACCCAATTTTGTCAGCATTTACACACTACTGTGCTCAATCTAAAACTTTGTTAACAATTCTACTGTTCTAATGATGTAGCCTAGGCTGGATTTTTCAGCAATGTAGAGTGAGGTATATGAATACATTGACCAAAAACAACAAATAAGATTGTGTTGTACTGCACCCTGATGAAAATATTTCTTTCTTTCTACATCGTAATATCAATCAATACATCAATGCATTATAGTACATAAACACAGCAAACGCATTCGTGGAGAAAAAAGAATGTGTGAATTACAATTAAATTAAAATTGCTAATACACGTTTTTTTAAACCGGCCTCCTGCTGTAATGTTGGCTTCCATTGTTGTTGTAAAAAAGGACTCACCTGTGGTATTTTTTTTATAGTGCTTTCTGATTGATGAGTCGACATTCAAGCAATTAGGTGTTTGGCCAGGTGCCACATGTATTGGCCAGTTGGTCCATGGCTGTGGCATTTTAAATGGCAAACAAGTGACTTGATGACAGATTCCTGTTTCTTATGTAGAGAACTGTGAGCAGAGTGTTGCAAAAAGTGCCAAGCAGAATAAGAAATTGGGTGCAAAGCAGAAAATGGGTTTAGAGTTGTGAAGACTTGAGCTGAGGTATTGCTCTCTGACTATCTTGAGTTTCCTCCCCTTCTGGGCCTTTTTTGTCATATTTTTATATTTTATATTTTACACATTTGGAACCAACGGAGATGTATGTTGGATTATTTTTTGATCATTGGCAGTAATTTCATGTTGCTAATACAGCTGTTACCACAGCAATTCTGTCACTTCACTATTTTTCTACTGTACAATATATAAAGTAAAGATGACTCGTTCACTTTTAGATAGTATGTTTCCAGAAATGCACACATTTGACAGCCAACCAAAAATGTTCAGTGATTTACAGTAAAAGGAAACTGAATTATAAAAAACAATGACTTTCATATTTTCTTTTGAATACAGGTAACTGAAACATGAAATATAAACTATTTGGCTAATTGTATCATGTAGGTGTGTTGCTGTGTTAAGAGTTTGGAAAAAGTATCTTAAGTAAAGATAAATGCTTGTTGTTATGTTGTCCTATGTTATCTTATATTATGTTATTTTCTGTTGTGTTATGTTGTGTTATGTTATGCTATGCTATGCTATGTTGTGTTGTGTTGTGTTGTGTTGTGCTGTGCTATGATATGCTATGTTATGTTATGTTATGCTATGTTATGCTATGCTATGCTATTTTATGTTGTGTTGTGTTGTGTTGTGTTATGCTATGCTATGCTATGCTATGTCTATCTAAAAGAGATTTTGCAATTATTTTTCTGAAGTTCAGTGTCTTGCATGGCCTTGCTTTGGTTGCATCGTGGGCAGACTATAAGAACCTGCAGTGAGACTGCTGCTTCCTGTCCCTACTCCTCTGGAAGTGTTACCCTCTCATCCTCTATCTCCCCTCATCCTCTATTCTCCTCCTCACCTCCGGCTGCACTCCATCCCTCTGCTGAGCACAGGTATTTGTTTAGGAATCTCTCAGTGGAAATTATACTCCATCTCGGGCGCTCCCTATCAACACACAATTATCATGGGCAATCATGCAGAACAGTGCTGAATTCAGCTGGGAGTCTGATGACATTACTGACTGCAAGGCCCGGCTTCTTCTGTAGGTAGCCTGTACCACACCTGCATTAAACCTCTCTCTCTCTCTCTCTCTCTCTCTCTCTCTCTCTCTCTCTCTCTCTCTCTCTCCCTCTCTCTCCATCACTCTCTCTTTCTCCCTGTCTCCCTCTCTCACACACTCTCACTCGGATATGGATTGAGATTGTTTAAACATTTTGTTATCATATTGGGATTTCAATTAAACCAGGACGTCCACCAGACGGAATCTTTTTTTCTCTGAGAGACTTGGAGGAAAGGACCAATCCAACCGGACACAAGACACATTCTGTGATCTTATCTTATAATTTACTGATATCTGCCAACCTCTCTGGCCCGGTCTTATGACCTGCAGTGGTTTACCTCGGTGTAGCTTCTCATGTGGATGAGCTGAAATGTGATGGTGCTTCTCTTACTCAGAGTGCGGACAGCAATTTGAAATTTCAGGAATTTGGACGTGTGAATCTCCTTCTTAAGTGTCTTCTGTGAAGGCAAAGTCAATCTCACAAAGTAATCAATGCCTTATATTGTGTCGATCCCCCCTGCAAACCACAGATGCATTTCCTTATGTATGATAAGCATATTATAAAGCTAGAAAGGCACAGACTTGATAAAGACACATGAGAATCGACACAGAGGTCCATTCAGATTCTGATCAAATGCTCCATTCATGAGTGAAATTACCATCCGTCTGTCAGCCAAGGTGTGAATTCTTTCATCTACAGAACCTAACTCTGAAATTGTGATTAAATGCATAACGCCACATACACTCCACATAGACTCGAGATAAGCAAAATAGGATTTCCGCCTTTCGGGGAGTAGGTTGGTGTGTAAATCCAGTGAGACAGTACTGCCCTCTTGTGGTATTTTAGTTGAATGTTTTGTATTTTTCCAGACCTTTGTTACAATGATCCAGTTTCATTGTAGAATTGCCTGCCAGTATCAGTTTATTCCATGTGTAAAAGCTGGCCCTCTGATTGGTCATTGCTGTTAGTCTGACTTATTTATATCACTAGAATTACATGGTCTAAATAACGATGGTCCTTTGACTGAAATGTTCCCTTGTATTCACATTAGCTCACGTTTATTTTTCCTCTTAAGAGTCTCTTCCACTTATTTGTCAGTTCACAGGCATTTTTTCTCTGAAATGGGACTCTGGATTTTGGCTAGACGTACCTGAAGCCTGGACACCAGAGCGCACATTCTTTTACAATTCTTGGCTCTGGTACAGTGACAGAAATGATGCATTTTTACGTCAAAGCTTGCCTTCCCCTCATCATTTTTATTAGCAGACAGAAAACAGGAAAAAAAAGCATTTTTGTGGACATATATGGTGTCAGAATCTCACGCTTAGAAGAAACAGAAGACAAAAACCCAACAACATGAACATAAAACAGTTACATACTCTCAACATGAAAATAAATAATAATTCAAACCTCAAATTCTAAAAAGAATAAGCTGTGCTGAACAAAGAAACTGGTTAAACAGTAAAAAACTAAAAACAGCACAGTTTCGCAGTTTTTTTACCTTGCTTCAGATAAGGAAAAACGTCCCCAAAAAAGCCTTTGACATGTTCCTTTATTACAATGAACATATAGTATAGCTTTCAGTTCATACTGATTTAGTCTGACTCACCAGGTGAAGAGTGTTTATGAGCCTGACCTATGCCAGCCAGCATTCCCCTCCCCTTCTGCTTTCTGCAACATCTATTTTGCGAGGACACCGTTGCTCCATCTTGGGCGACGCAAAGCCCAGGATGACTTTGATTGGTTTTAAAAAATAATAACAATCCAGAGTGTTTTTTTTCCTATTACAACAGAATGACAATGTGCGGTGCCAGGCCTTTCTTTAGCGCTGACACAGCGTGGTGCAGATAATACTGAGTTGATACAAATATGCCTTGCTGCTGACTCAGCGGAATATGAAATGAGTATTAGGCTGCAGCTAAATATAGTCCCCCAACAAATGTGCTATCCTGTTTGAGAAAGAAATATGGTGCTCTTTCAGGAACATATTTAGCACTTTGTTAAGATTATTTTTTAAACGCTACACAAAGCATAAGATATATTAGAATAACTTGTTCTCAAGCAAACAAAAAAATGCTCCAATTAAACACAATTGTTCATCAACATTTCATGAATTTTGAATTTTCTGAACATACACTCACAACCCTCACAACCATAAACACACAAGATTCAAACCACAGTGTTACGCACCACAGGTATTTATACTGTTGGTGCAGGCTTATTGAGAATAGCACAGAACTGTGTGTACTATGACGTAGCTCAATTGGAAGTAGCTCAGGCTGGAGTGATTATGATGCCATTTCTGAACTGAGCAGTGGTTGCAATGATTTTATCCTGGAACAAACTAAAAACACTCCAACCATCTCAAGCCCCCACCCTTCCTCTAACCTGCCGCTGCTTAAAGTCAGTGGTAATGAATCTGGATGGTTCGGCCAATGAGGAGGAAAAGAAGGCCGGCCAGGAGACAGAAGAAGATGCCGATGGGGGCAAACATGAAGGACAGACCATAGTTGAGGGACAGCTGGAAGTCTGGACACACTGTAGCGCGCTGGTGTTCTACGTAGACATCCACCACATCCAACACCTGCACCCACAGGACGTACATCACCACCACACAGAGCAGGAAAAGACCTGGTGCAGAGAAGGGCAGCAGAGGCAGAGATGATGATTTTTAAATAAACCAATGGATCCAAAACAGGGTGCAGAAAAATAAATATTTAACCTGTGGCGGGAGAAGTATTCAGATCCTTTAAGTAAGTAAGAGTACCAACACCCCAATGTTAAAGTACACCATTACAAGTAAAAGTTCTAAAAGCTGAGTATCATCAGCTAGATACAATGTTCTGTTGAAAATGGCCCCTGTGAGTTATGACATTATATATGACATTATTAGGTTGTTAATACTCTGTTGCTGGTCGAGGTGTGGCTACTTTTAGCAAAGAGTTACATGATAAATCTGAGGGGTCGAGAGCGGAAGTTCTTCTGCATGAATGTGAATTTTAGAATATTTTCAAATTTTTGCTTTTCTACGAAGTTAAAATGTTTCTTCTTTGGGCCTCAAACTGTAATTTGAAGTAAATCATCTGAGGAGTCTACAGGGGAAATGTCTCTTTTGTGGAACTTCTAATAACTCATAGATATCTGAAATGTGAAGAAGGGTCCCAACCAGACACTGCTGTTTTGAAAAGTCTTAGTCAAAAAGGATTAGGAACCACTGGTTTAATACTTAACAATGCAATAGATTGTATTTTATAAACTTATAATACATCTAGCATCCTTATTTGAAAATGTACTAGTTCCTAGCTAAAAGTATAAAATGAGAGATAAGTCAAGTACAAGTACCTTTAAAATTGTACTTAAATAAGTTTACTTTCCACCACTAAAATTAAGCAATTTTAAAACCTCACCAGATGCCAGGAAGAGGCCTCCCCCTGCTTTATACAACCGGTGGCTGGCGAACGGAGCAGCACAGATGATGAAGAACCCACCGAGCACTACAGCTGCCACACCGATAAGCATGAAGATGCTCCAGAAGCCTCTGTAGACTGGACAACAGAAATGTTAGTCAATTGTATCACTGAGGAATATCAACTTAATCAGTACAGAGAGGCAAATCTAAATAGATAGACAGACACTTACTTATGGCCGTATCATACTCTGTGGCATTGTGGGTCTGATGAGACACAGGGAATGGGAAGAGGTAGGCGTGCATGCAAACTTTTGAGTGAGGCTGATTTGCTGGAAAGAGATGGAATAAATCAAAACAGAAAATTAATTAAATTGAATGTTAATAGTAAACAAACACAGTTGGCAATTTCCTTTGTTACGTCAAGTCTCTCATGGATTGGGATATGACTAAATTGTGTCAACAGTGTCAAAAAGTTATGATAGTACTCTACTTTTTGTCTTGTGTTTTTTATATTCTTTCTATTTTCTCTTCCACCGCAGCCCCTCACGAGGTCCCTTCAGTGCCGGAGGCTTTTTCTGACAATAACCCACCATTCAAAGTCCCCATCAGAAAATAGACGACCCATTATCACCTGACAAACGACCAAGATAACATCACATGAACAGTCACATGGGAGGATTTCTACCGTTATTTTAAGTTTTATACACAGAATAGTAGCAAAACAAAAACTGATATTTATTCTGCATAGTGATGCCATATGATCCTGAGGAAGCATCACAGGACAACGCTGGAGGACAATGGTTTCCTGCACTCATCGGCTTCAGAAGACAGAGAAAAGGACCATTTAAGAGGATCTGGAGTTTCTTATACGTTTGTTGACAAGATTTCTAACACGGAATTACACATCTAATCTGTTAGGTCTATTGGGTCTATTTAACTCCGGAAACATTTGTAACTTCACAATGTAGCATAACATAATGTACATTTCTTTGTCTTTCTTTTTGCCAAAAAAGTAACATGTATTTGCTCATGCATCATCCCATATAACTCGTAGAACATCAAATGTTTCCTAATAATGTAATAATGATGATCTTTGGTCATTTTCTTATTCTGCCTTAATCACATGTGCAATCACAATTTCTTGCAAGGGGTTACCACTTCATTACTTTACAAGTATTTTGAGAAAATAAACAGTGGAAACATTTACAAAAGTGAAGCCAACAGCAAACAAATATATATGGGTTAACTATTGGAACATGTGTCATTTATGTCTCTTGTTTGCACTATCCACTATGCTGCTGTAATCCTGTAAATGTCCCAACTGTGTGACTAATAAAGGATTATCTTATTTTATCTTACTGAACCAGAGGTTCCACATCAGGTTGTCATCACCCGCGTTGCCTCCAAACGAACACCTCCAGAAAAAACCTTCATGGTATAGAGTGATATCACCAGTGCCCTCCTGCATTACCACATCTCCACGCTGAAAGAAGCAGGAAAAGATAGAATAATGATTTATTACATAATATATTCTGACTTTAAAAAGGTCTGCAGAGTAGGATTTGTATGTGCAGATTTATGGATGGATCTCCATGTTATCTGTTGATGTGATTAAAGCCTGAGAGCTGTCACCAGATCGTGCGAGGCAGGTGTACAGTGCGTCGCCACAGCGGCAAAGAGCACCTGCTTAGTCAGGTCAAGGGTCGAGCTGAGCCAGCACCTCTAACCTCATTCAGGTTTGGTACGGTGCCGAGCGAGCATGCAGGCCAAGGATGTTCCCATTCAGGAAAAACTCATCACTGGTGGTCACTATTTTTGCACGAGAGCAAAAATTCTATCTATCCATACAGCACCTGTCAGAGTAATAAAAGCAGAGGGTGCAGGCTGTGCTGACTTTGGACCTTAAAGTTTCACCAGTCAGGGTCAATCTGATCAGAGTTTTGTTTTATTTTGCAATCAACCTTGTTGAAGAAGGACAGTGGCTCCCAACCTGGGGGTCAAGAACCCCTAAAACGGGTGGCAAGATAAACCTGAGGGGTCACAAAACAATTTATGGGATTAAAATGAATCACAAATGTATTTATTTTACACAAAATGATGGTTATTTCTTTCTGACATCCTTCCAGTAATTATTTGAATAGTTTTACCCTTTTGGCTATATATGTGAACAAAGAAATGTAAGAGGAAATCACTTATTAAATGGTATAATAAAAAAAACGTTGAGGACCAGTGCTGCATGATGCTAACAATCCCACTAAAGAATAAGAATCCTGCACTTTTTTTATGTTATTGCACTAAAAATAATACTTTAGTCAATTATGATTGACGAAACATGAATAACGGTTACTCACATTTAATTAAACTACGTGCTACCACTCTGGTTTTATTGTGGTGATATCATGTCTCCATTCCAGTTTCAGTTCCCACTATGAAAAGCTAGGTATGTTTTAGTCGATGATATTTAATACAGCATCATACCACTGGGACTACTGGAATTTGTATCTCTATGACAGGGGCACAAGCTATTTCTCAATCACTGCATAGCTGCACACACATTACAGTAAACAGTGTCTGATTACATGAAGAGGTCCTACAGGGATGCCTCTCCACCCTGCAGAGCATCTGCTGAAAGAATGATTGGAGCAACTGATCCCAGTTTCTAAAATAGAAAGAAGTGACTTTGATACTAATTTAAATATGCAACTTCACAATGCACCATTTAAAGCTTAAATACTATACAAACAAATATAATTACTGTCTATGGCCTAACAGTTGACCTAATATCAGTTAGTGGGGTGTTACACATGTGACCATGATAACTAATATTCAAGACATAACAAAGAAGCAACAAATTATAACTAAAGTCCAACACCCACCTCTATGGTCACACCACCCGGGCCAACAGATCCGTCCGGGTTCGGGTGGCAACTCTCTGAGGCCAGCAGCCAGTAATCAGTTCCAAACGAGAGGAGGATGAACACAGTTGCCAACGCCCCGAAGAGCCCTGCAAAAAACAACGCCACGCTAAGCTTCATGGTCCAGGAGTGACCAGCCACTTGGCCGCTGGATGCTCACGCTCAGTCTGACTTTCCCCAACTACAGTGAGCACATGTGACAAGCAGAGGTGGAAACTCCTTGTACAGTTCATCCACTGATCTGCTCGAGCTGGTTTATGTTGATACCGGATCTGGACTCCTCTCCTGTCCCTCTGTCTGTGTTATGGGAGGACAAGGTTGAGCACATGACTCCTCTGGACCCTGCTTGAGTCTGCAGTCAACAACCCCCATCCACACCCTGGGCTATTTTTGGGGTCTGACTGAAGGCGGCTGCTCCATTCCCAAGAAGCCCACTGTGGGGCTGAGTGTGTGAAGCAGTTGGAGAGTGTGAAGGGAGGGGATCAACGCAGAAATAACCGGTGGCAACTGGACACCCATCGTCTGCACGGGAATGTCAGGGCAGGGTGAGACTGAAAGCACAGAAGACGACACACATGTAAACACACACAACAGTATGCTGTCCTGTAAAAGGGGGTGATGAAAATTACTGTAAATATACCCTTAGTGGGTATTTTCAGTTGTATCACACTCTAGGAAAACAGAGATAATTATCAAATGGAACTTTATAAACAGTTCAATTAATAATTAAAGATATAATACTAATGTTTAAAAAAAAATACACATGTTAGAGTATTTCTCAGAAATAACTTTCATGAATTACACAAAAACAGCAATTTTCCAGATATTATACACACACAAGACATGTTTAAATTGTAAATTAGCATGTCAGTTTGAAAAGTAATTTAACAGTATTTACATCATTATTCTACTTACTACTCACATTACATGAATAATTTCTGTCATATGCATTTAATAGCTCTGTTATGTTGTTCATTCTGTACACATGACATCTATCATCCACCCTGGGAGAGGGATCCCTCCTCTGTTGCTCTCCCTAACGTTTCTTCCTTTTTTTTCCTCCCTGTTAAAGGGTTTATCCTGATGTGAGGGTCCTGGGACAGAGGATGTCACATGTGTACAGATTGTAAAGCCCTCTGAGGCAAATTTGTGATTTGTGATTTTGGGCTGTACAAAATAAATTACATTTAATTGAATTGAATTCATACTTTAATGGCCTTGATAACAAAAGCCATTTGGACATTTAGCCAATACTGTGAGGCAATTTAGCTAGTGTCATCAATGCTTGTTTTAGGTATGAAAACAAACAGTCGTTGAGGGGAATCCCTGATTTATTAGCATCTACGGGGCACATTTAGCAGTGAAGCTACAAATATGCACACTGATGTGACCCAGGCATTCCACCCACATATACTCCTCTGCAGTGTGTGTGTGTGTGTGTGTGTGTGTGTGTGTGGGGGGGGGGTATGTATCTATTACTCAGACTGATTGGAGTTTTTGCCATAAAGGTACAGATATAATATATAATGTAAAACAACAGAATTAATTCTGTTGAGTTTTGCACTGAGCATGCAACACAATACGACCAAAATGTTTGCAGTTGAAGGTGGTAAATAGTGTGTGATATAATTATGAAATAGTAATGCATCGTTTCCTAACTGCACTGCATTCAAATACTGTACACTGTAACTGGAGTAGTTGTGGTAGTGATTGTACTAGTTTAAATGCTTTATAAACTACACTAAATTACTGCAAGTACTTAAATAGTAATGTTGTTTTACTTTATGCTAAAACATGTACTTTTGCTGTAAAACAGGAATATTGTCCATGGCAGCACTGTAGTCAGTAAATTACTGTATAATCATCCTTAAATCTCTGCAGTGTGCAGAGATTTGTTGGATTCCCCACGTAGGTGGTAGAAAAGGATCTAATCTCGGTCAGTCTAAATGTTACAGTTTAAAACAAAATAAGGCTGAGAAAAATCTGTAGTTGAACTATATGAGTTATGGAGGCCTCTTGCCATTTATAGATATATTTTTATATATGTCAACAATAGTAAAAAAAAAAAAACAGAATAACGTATAAAGTCAAAATTTAAGTCACCTTGGTATTTCAATATTGCAAAAAAATCGAACCGCATTTAAAAGTCAAATAACAAACAATATTCCTACCGAAGAGGAATCTCACTATTTGGCAAATATATAATAAATTAATACAACTTTTAAAAGTCAAAATAAGAAAGTCAAAATCAAAAATCCACTCATCTGTTTATGAATAAGTATTAACCGATTCAGTTATGTGACGTCGCGGGCGATACCAACTGTCAGAGCAGCCGCGGGGGGGGGGTCATAAAAGACAACACGCAGTTGAACACCTAAGAAATCAATACGACTCGAAAAATCGGTGTCATCGCAGAACGTTTATAGTCTCTTTAAAATCCGCCACATTTCACGCCTGCCACATTCGGGCAGACGTATCTCTTCACTTCCTGCCCGTGACACCTCCGCCGGGTTAAGGAGACGAGCTCTGTGCTGTGTTTGGATAATTCAGAGTCGAGCGGACGAGCTTCCGCTTTGGGCTGCAGCCGTGCTGTCACATCGGGAGGATGAACAACCAGAAATGTAGCCCCCTACTTCAGAAACCAAGAGGACGGACGAGGATTATACAATGTATCTATGTGGTGGGCTTCATGGTGAGTAGCTAACCGAGACTTGATTGAGTGAATTGAGCCTATGTTTTCATAACTCAAAGGTATTATGTAAACATATATATACAGTATATATATTATAAATGTGCTTCATTTTCAAACTATACAAACATCACTAAGGTTTCCTCCAGGTGTTTGCAGGGGATTAACAATGTATTGATGTCCTAGGCAGCAAAGCAAAGGCAGTGCACTATATTCCCTTTAACCTAAATCTTGCACTTTAGACCCCCTAAACACTCACCTGTCATATTTACGTGCAGCACAATATCAAATCTTCAAGCATGGTTTGTGAAAACGTGTGCTTGGTCATGCACTTTTGTTTTAAGTTAACTCTGATATCTGCAACAATGATGTCATATTTTGAAAAAGTGCACGGCCAGTGGCTATAAACCCAGCATAGATGATCATAGACCAACATCGTTATTTATGTAATCAAAACCATTTGATTTGTGTGTGTATTTTGAAAGATATCGCCCTAAACTCAGCAGTTGTGCAGCTACTAAATAAGGGAGCTTCTATTCAACATGTCAGGCTGTTTCGACACCTTTCGAGTGTATTGAGGGTTTGCCTCTTCAATTCGTCACTGTCAGTAAAATATGTTGCAAAGAGGACTGGCACTTCCTTGAGGTTAAAAAAAACATGGTGAAACCCCCATGCTAGAAGTTAGATCAGTGTGTGGAATTCTAAAGATAGTGAAAATCCAGATATCCAAGTTGCCAATCTGCAGTCATTCTTCAGAGGACTAACTTCACATTTCAGCCTGTTTTTTCCGGTTTAATGATCATCTAATTAAAGGTGACTAAAAGAATCCAGGCGCTCAGATTGTTTGGCAGACATTTACAGCTGAGGACAGTAAAACACTGTATGAACCGCTGTGTGGCTTCAATAAAGAGTTTTGCAGGAGCTGCACTCATCTCAGCAATGTGATGAGATTCTGAGGCTGCTGCAACCATCCTTAAAACTGGTTTTTAAGTGTTTCATTCTGTTCAGAGGTTTCTGGTGTGATAAAGTCCTGATAATGATGATGGCGTGCTCTGGGCTCATTCCTGCTTTCTTTCTCCTTCAATTCCTTGTTTACTTTAGGACTTGTTTGGCGTGAGCATGATCATACCGCTGCTGAGCCATCACGTGAGGGCCCTTGGAGCAAGCCCCACTGTGGCTGGTATTGTAGGTAAGTTGTAATTTATTAAGTTACCTCCAAGCAGATGTACTGTACTCCAGGGTCGCGCATAATTAGGCAGCAAGCTGTGTGTGTGTGTGTGTGTGTGCGCGTGTGTGTGTGATAACCGATAATGTCCTGTTTTCCTGTGCTGTAACTGTAGATATTTTTATTGTTGCATGGTGTGTGCTCTAAGTGTGAATTAAAACAAAATATGGAACTGTTGCAGGGTCTACATATGGGATCTTACAGCTCTTCTCGAGCACAATAGTTGTAAGTATTAACTTTGTTTCTTTCTGAAAGGTCTCTGTCTCTAACCCCCATTCAGCCTCTCCTGCTGGACAAGGCATGCTCACTGTTAGTGGCCAAAGTGGTTGCATTCCATGTCATCTCTGGCATTTTGTGAAAACAATAAACACTGGCTGTTAATACACCCAGTCTCTGCACATTCACACACACACAAGCAACACCTGATTAGCCGCAGACACACAAATATCACTATCTTTCCACAGGAATTTGTATCCTTCCATAACTGGACACTATGGAGTTGTTTTATCAGTGTATTTACCGTTGGATGAAAAATCAAAGCCTTGATGATTAAAACCTTGTCCAAACTGTTAAGACGTTACCAGTACTCAAGAAATGCAGTGACGGTACTTTACAATAAGCATGGCATCTGACACAAGATTCTCAGCTTTTCACATCTTTCCCCTGCAGCCTGAAATTTGTTTAATTCTCAGGGGTCATGCGACAAATTAAACAGATAAGGAGTCAACTGTTGGATCCCATGTGCAGACCGGCTGAATCCTGATAAACGCAGGGATACATGAACAGCCGGGTCTCTATGATAATCCCACCAGGCTACACCCAGAACACAGCAAACTCAATTGGTCCTAATTTCATTATTTCATCAGGTGTGTGTGTGTGCGTGCGTGCGTGCGTGCGTGCGTGCGCCAGAGAGAGAGCTGCAGGGCGAAACTAATAAAATCTGCTTGGTTGAGAGGAGACTCAGGGTTTTGGGATTTCTGCTTCATTTTAATATTCCCACACGCTACCAGTGTTGGGATTTGTCACTAATCCCATTGAATTAGGATTGAAGTTTAGGCCTTGACTCCACCCGTCCAGATGTTTCATAGGACTGTACAAAAGTCCACAATCTTTCCACTAAACGTCTTTTTTTCATTGAATGGAAAGTTTTGTTGGATTTTTGTTTGCGTGTCATTTCCAGCGGCGATTTTTTTTGTATGAAAATTTTGGTGGGGCCACACAATATTCATACAAGAAAATTTGGTGATGCAATTTAAACATTCCATAGATTTATCAGATTAAACCCAACTCTCACTACCAATAAACTGCGCGCGATTGAGAGAGGGGAGACAGCGGTGATGACAAAATTCCAGCTGAATAATGCCATCTAAAATCACACAATGAATATCAGACGACATATCTTAACATACAAGACCACCAAAGGACAATGTTACGATCTGCCATCATCAAATAGACTATCAGCTTGATAGGTTCAGGGGCTCAAGATGTGTCAGTACGTCATTTAACAGGCCAACGTCGTTTTGTCCTTCACCACAATAGATTCCCAAAACCTCTCGGCCCCTGCGTTGTTTACCATGTAGTGTACCATTTGTGACTTGCGGTACACATCTGTGATCTCTGCACAGCAACGAAAAGGTGCATCTACCAGCTGTTGAGCTGTTGTTTTTTTTTATTTTCCTTCTTAAGATATGATCAAGCCATCCTGTCGATGTGGTCCCAAATGTTTTAATTTCCATTTTTTCTGCTCCAGGGGTGAAGTTCTAAATTGTACCGTAGTTAATTATTCCACGAGTCATCACTACTGTTGTAATGTTAACACACCAAGCATCAGGCACAAAGACAAAGTCTCACACACACACACACACTACAAAGCAATATTTTTCTAGAGAAGAGATTTCTTTCAGAGTATTCTGAAAAAATGCAAAAAAGAAGTTATGAAGTAGACAAAGTTAAGTTTGCCATTATTGTGTCTGAAATAGAGAAAAGCCTATAACTTCTTCTGTGGTGGGGACGTGTCCCACGGGCCCCTGATGCAAAAACGCAGATGGTCATTTCCTGTTTGATTGGCAGGGGAGCTGGAGTGATGTGGTGGGCCGGCAGTACTCTCTGCTGACCTGTCTGCTGCTGAGCGCTCTAGGCTACGGCCTGCTCGGGATGTCCACCAGCATCACTTTGTTTGTCCTCGCACGGATTCCTGTGGGTAAGTCCCAAACTAGTGAAGACATTTAGTCATGTCACAAAAATCACAGGTGTAAAAAATCATAGAAGGCTGTAATCCATTTAGCTTTTCATCGTTAATGTTATTAGTAATACCTCTGCTTTTCCTACTTGACCAGTACCATGACAAATCAAAAATGTCTGCAGTGGTCTGTTGACGTCACCAGATGTGTGCTTAACAGCTTGTGCTGCATAAACCAAGTGTCTCGCCAAATGATTTTGCAATAGATCCAAATGAGAATATTTATTTGACCTCTCTTTACTGACCATGCTTTGTTGCTAAAAAGTTGGGATGAAATGAGACAATTAGGATAAATTCATTGTTTGTTTGATGGTCTTATGAACTGAAGAAGAGTTTAAATCTTCACTACAAGAGATTTAAATACATTCACCGTGGTGGTACATAGCTACCTACCTCATTTTCATTTTGGGGCCAACTTCTCATTCAAGTTGTATGGAGGGAAAACACTGACCTTATAGACTGTTTCTGTGACTGTTTCTTTGCTCTTGGGGACAATAAAAACATGACTAGTGGTATGAGAACTTATGTGAAATAACAACGTTCTTATAATTTGCACAAAGCCACCACCTTCATCTTAAATCAAGATCAATGTGCATTGACTGTTTTGAAATCTGAAGTCCTCATCATCGGCCCCAAATCATGAAACAAATCCCTCCACAACTTCTCCCTCTGCATTGATGGCACCACTGTTCCTGCTTTCACACATGTCCGTAACCTTGGGATCATTTTCGATCAAACTCTCTCCTATGAACGACACATCAATCACATCAGAAAAACCGCCTTCTTCCATCTCAAAAACATCGCCCGTCTCCGCCCCTCCCTCTCCTCCGCAGCCGCTGAAACACTCATCCGCACATTCATCACCTCTCGACTGGATTACTGCAACAGCATCCTGTACGGCTCACCCACCAAAATCATCAATAAACGACAATACATCCAAAACTCAGCTGCCCGTCTGCTCTCCCACTCCCGCACCAGAGACCACATCACCCAAGTCCTTCAAAACCTCCACTGGCTCCCCATACAGCAAAGAATCCAGTTCAAGATTCTCCTCATCACATACAAAGCCCTCCACAACCTCGCCCCTTCATACCTTTCAGACCTCCTGCACCATCACACTCTCAACCGCAACCTCAGATCCGCCGACGCCAACCTCCTTACCCCCCCTACTCTGTCCAAGCATCGGACCTGGGGGGACAGGGCCTTCTCCGTTGCTGCCCCCTCCCTCTGGAACTCCCTGCCCCAACACCTCAGACATTCTCCATCACTCGCCACCTTCAAAACTGCACTTAAAACTCACCTATTTAAATCTGCTTTTAACCTCTAAAGTCAGTCATGTATGTTTTCTTTCTCTTCGTGTTTATTTTTTCTTACTGTCATGTTGTAGATTTTGTTTTTATTATAAATGCTTTTATTGTTTCCGTTTTTACCATGTAAAGTGTCTTTGAGTGCCTTTTAAAGCGCTATATAAATAAAATGTATTATTATTATTATTATTATTATTGTTTTCTGTCTCAGGGCTGTTCAAGCACTCCCTGTCCATCTGCAGAGCGCTGCTGTCTGACCTGGTGTCTGAGTCAGAGCGCCCTCTGGTGATGGGACACTTCAATGCAGCCTCCAGTGTTGGCTTCATCCTGGGTCCTGTGGTGGGCGGCTACCTCACGGAGCATGAAGGCGGCTTTTATACTTCGTCCTTTACCTGTGCCGTCATCTTCCTCACTAATGCAGGTGGGTGAATAAAGGAGAGAAATAACTGATTTATTGTATTTGGAGTCTTTATCTGACATTATGTGTTCATCACTCCAGGGCTTGTATGGATGCTACCATGGAGCGAAACGCTAATTCTCCATAATGACAATGACTCCAGCAACGACACAAGTAAAGTTTGTCATGACAACAACTGCAGTAAGTCGGTTCGCAATGGCTCTCGTGCAAATAGTCACCACCCAGTGTCGGCAGCAGAGACTGACCCAGGCTCCAGAGCGCCGGGGACGCACCGAGGGGGTCTCGGGTGGAGGGAGGTGTCCCTGCTCCAGCCTGCCTGGAGACAGCTGTCCTCAGTGGGCTCCAAGATCTACATGGTGGCCTCCTCTGACATGTGGGACCTCTTCCTCATGCGTCTTCTGATGGCTATAGCTATCATGCTTTACCACAGTAACTTCTCTCTGGCGATGGAGGAGCGTTTCTCCCTCAAACCAAAGGTGACAGGTTATTTGATCAGCTACAGCAGCACCTTAGGGGCCCTGGCTGGTTTGCTGGTGGGGCCCGTCACCCAGCTGTATGGGAAAAACATGCCTGCTCTGCTGCTCCACTCCACAGTTCTCACCTGTTCACTCATTTTCCTGTACGCTGTCGCGCCCAGTGTGTGGCAGGTGCTGCTCACCGCCACCTTCTTTACCATTTCCACCACGATCGGACGGACATGCGTCACAGACCTGGAGCTACATAGAGGAGGGGCCCAGGCCAGTGGGACTCTGATCGGAGCCGGGCAGTCAGTGACAGCAGTCGGCCGAATCCTGGCCCCTCTCCTCTCTGGCCTGACCCAGGAGTTCAGCCCATGTGGCCCCCCCAGTCTGGGAGTGGTCTTAGCTCTTGCAGCTGTAGGTTTAATGCTCATTAGGATCCCCAAATGGGACAGAAAAGGGATGACAAAAGAAAGCCAAGCTCTGAGTGACTGAATTAATTTAAAAATAATTGCAAATCTACCACACGGAGAAGTGCTCTTATTTTGTAGGCAGCCAGTGTGAAGTTTTGTGAAGATGAACAGCAGGCTCACAGTGGGAACGATATGTCCTGCTGGAATGCCCCTGGCAGTCGCATCTGTGGATGCGACAACATCCCAGTAAATGGCTCATCACCACCAGCACTGCAGCAGATCTCTCAGAAAAAAAGCAGTTTCAAAACTCATTGAGGTGACGTTATAGCTGAGAAAATGAATCTGCTTCCCCCAGGGCTGAAGTTTGACGCAACAGAAACGTAAGAGCCTTGCGTCGGCACATGCTACTTGGGACAGCTCGGAAACAATGCACACTTTATTTTTAATGTAATTCTCTAACCACTACATTGTACACAGTCCTTTAGAGTTAGTGTCAACCTGCTGATGATACACTAATGGTGAAAATAACTTATTCTAATTCATCAAAATACAAGACGGCGACAATTACCTTACGGCAGTAATGCTTAAAACATTCAGAAATGAACTGACCCTCAAGGTAGATCACACTGTTGTTTAAGAGTAGGCAAGTCAGCCATAATTAGTTTGAATCATTTTACCTCAATGCCAGTTGTTTCTATGAATGCACTGCATCCAAAATGGTTCCTACGGTGGTATACGACCAAATGTTTGTTCTTAATCTTACATTTACAGAGATTTGTTCATTTTTCTTAGGATATGTTTAGTGGATATTTTAAGAAATTATATGGGAACATGTGGTAATTTTGACATGCTTTCATGTTCAAAACACATTTTTCTCACATTGTCTTAATATACCTGAAGTCATCCTCTGTCTGAAAAGCTCCCTTTTTAGAGCCCGTCTCTTTAAGCCCCCCTCCCGAAAAAAGCCCAGGTACACCTTTGCAAAGTTCTCAAGCTGTGGGTGGATCAAGATGGGTGGCGGTATATTCTTATGATCCTAGATGTGACATAGGAAGGGGATCCAGATCTGAATGGCTTTCGGATCTAGGCAGCCCACAAAGATACTGACTGGGTTCTCTTATTTCACAGCTTGTGGGTTTGGGAGGTTTAAATTATCAACTGTATACTGATCTCCACTGTTGTTTAAAAGCCCAAATACCCCCTGGTTAAGAGGGAGAATTGTATACATTTCTGTAAAGCTGTCAGTGAATCTATGAAGTACATGCCATATTTGTGCCAAAAAGTCACAAGTAATAACATTTGTGTATGCAAGTCTTGAGTTGTAAATGAAACAATGACATAAATGCTTCATTCTTATAGACTGTACTTATTTCCCCATCTCCTCTTTCCTCCATGCGCAGTGCCTTCAGTGTCACATTTATAAACTTGCACTGTGACCATGGTTTGATTGAGAATGCTTGATATCAGCTTCCAACAACATAGAAAATTTATTACAGAAAAAATATTAAAGTGGGCCCAAATATGTGAGGTCCATCACTGTAATCGACACACAGAAGGCCTCCAGTTAGTCCCAAGAGAACTTTGTACTGCACAGCAATAGTTCCTCATGTTAAACTAATATGGCCTAAATATAAAAACTTGTATTCTCAATTATACAACTGTCACACACAATAGTACAAAAAAAGTATATTATTTACATCCAAGGAGAGAGAAATAATGACTAAAAATAAAATAGTTTAAATTACATAATCTTTAAAAATCCTACAGGAAGATAACGTATTGAAAATCACATTGATGTGAATGGGTGAAGTAACTGCACGGATAAAATTGTCAGAATGAGTCACTGGTGACGATTCATGTCGCGTTGCTTCACTATAGTGCACTCTGCTTCTGGTGTGGCTGACACCGTTGACTTCAAGGCATTACCATTTTGGCTCATTTTGGAGGATGGTTCACCTCTAATAAGGAATGAATGGACCTCCAGTGGTCATTTATCGTTGAGTGGTATGAACACACAGTCGTATGTAGAGACCCTGGAGCTGCTCGAGAACCTGAGCCTGTGGCAGTCCAGCTGCTCTTGAAAGCCCAGGGACACTTTTATATCTTCGGGTTCCACTGAGGCCGCCTGAGCAGAGGGTTTTGCGCTGCGTTGTCTCGGGGTTCAGTAGCCCAGCCTGGAGGTGGGGACGAAGGCTGCTGCTCGTCTTCTGCTTCATGATGCCCGTTCCTGAAGTTATCAGCTGAGGCGCTTTCGGTTTCAACGGAGGAGTAGAGGCGACGGTGAGGAGCGGGAATGTGGGAATCACTGGAGGAGGAGTTTGTTCTGGACGTGACACGCCCCGACCTGCCTCTGTCCTCCCCTGTGATCTCATCCAGCATGTCAACAGAGTGTGCCTCTGTTACAGTGTCCAGCCTGCGTAGAGGCATCATGGCTCCGGAGGAGGAGCGTGCGGGCTGGCCAAACCGAGAACGTCTGGAGGGGTAGGCCACCTCCGACATCGTTTCCTGATCATCTGGGACAGTGGAAGAACATGACAAAATTATAAAGAAATTATGAAGGGAATTGAATTAGGCCATCACACAGTTGCATGTAAGTAACTGCAAATGAATGTTGGTACAGAGATTTACCTCAATATTAAACCTCATTGACCTGCTAGTGGGTCAGTCATCACAAACTTCTGATTCTTGCGTTTAAAATGATTTTTCCAACCTTAAATCTACTTAAGAAGCCTTAAATGGGGAAAACTAGTAGTTTCAGAAGCTCACCTGTATAGCTCTGCCTCCCAGGGGGGAATTTTGAATCCAGACTTTTCCCAGCAGGAAGAGAGAAATATTTCTGGGATTTGGGTACCACCTGATAACATGGGATTAAAACAGCAGAATAGAAAGGGAGAGAAAAAGGAGAATAATGAATGAGGGATGAGAATATGGAAAACAAACTTGTTGTTAAATTTGGGACACTTTTCATCTCAGTGTAGCTGAGAGATAATTAACCTGCTTCTCACAAGGTTCAATACTGCTCTCACTTCCTTACTTTTAACTAAGGGGCTGAGAACATACTGCACGTGGCTCATAATGCAACACCTCAAGTCAATACCAGCCCCAGTGAAAGAGCTGCCTGCTTACCGATGACTGAAAGCTGCCAGGTCGGATGCTGCGGCGGACGCTGGCGTGGCGTCTCATCAAGATCTCTCTGGTGTGACTGTCGTTGGGCAGGGCATGCTTACTTGTGTACGACACCGTCTGGTTAAAGACAAAAAAAAAAAGGTACAAGATATAACATTATTACACAGCAGATTCAGACCGTGGATGCTTCCCGCTCACAGATTTTACCATGTTGGACGTGTCCATCTGTAATGAATTTACAAGCGAGCTAACAGGCAGCCACAATGATTTCACATAAAGGTAACTTCAAAGAACAGACAAATGGACTGTTAAAATGCTTTCAGGGGAGTCGGCATTCTTTAGAGCTCGGATTACTCAACCAAAACTGGCCACACCTGTCTGAACTGAAAGGGTCGGTGTCTCCGTTTGGTGTTTGCGACCTGCCACACTATGCAACGTACACATCTCTTGTCAGCATAGATCTTTCTGACCTGCAGCAATTAGTTACACCTAAAACAAACATTTCAAAGACTCTAAAAGGTTGCCACTGCTCTTTAGAGAAACGTCTAATGTCAACAAAATGCTCCCGTCTATTTCACAAGAGGTCAACACGATCAGACAGAATAGGAGCCAATCTAACACTCTGTTCTCTTAACATTACTATTTGAATTTTCATCTAATTAAGTTTCAAATAAATCAAATTGTTGAATTCCAACGTGATGCTAGTTTAAAAGGGGCACATGAGACGCAGCGTTTGTGTGAGAGACATGAACAGAGGGGCTATTAGGACAATCGGACAAGATCAGAAGCACACGCTCCCTATTTTTGTCTCCACATCAAAGCGTCTCTGTGTGTGAGGTCATGTCACTAATGGAAAAGTACTGCCGGCCACAGTGTTTGGCTATGCAAAACAGCTCTGAATTTCAGTGCTAGGGATAAACACATCATTGTGTGGGAGTAAGGCGTCACAGAAGGTCTATTTTTTCCCAGTTTGTCAAAGTCAGTCGAAAACAAAATGTGTTCACCTGATTACAGACAAAGCAGAAATGACAAGAGACTTATCATCATGAAATGTTCTATATAGATGCATCAAAGTGTAATCAGCATGATGGAACTACTGAATATACTGTTCAGTAGTTTAATCTAGTGGTTCCCAAACTAGGGGTCAGGTGTCGTGAGAAGTTTATTTGCAGAGGAACGAAGAATTTGTATTCACTTTTGTGGGCCTTTGCTTCTATCATTTGCTGTTTTTGTGAAATATTGGATTATTTGACCTCTTTAAGACCTAAACTGTGAATTAAACCATGTTAATTAAGTAGAGGAGAAATGCCTCTTTGGTGGATCTCGTAACAACTGGTAAGTGTCAAGAAGCCCCAAGGTCGTCAAAGTAACCCCTGGTTTAATCTTCAACAATGCACTCTATTTAATCAGCGTATCATTTGCTTGATAATAAAACTAGTAACCTCTCAGATGTATGGGGTAGTAAAAACAATATGCAATATTTCGCTCTGAAAAGTAGTGAAGTAGAAGTATAAAATAAAACTACAAATATCTCAAAACTGTACTGAAATATGAAACGTTACTTTCCATCACTGAGAGGCATAATAAGACATGAATGAAAAAGAGAGAGAAGCAGAATGGTGCGCACATGTCGGGTTATCCTGCAAGATTATTTAATATCTCACCCGTTGCCTGATCCTGTACATGTTCTTGGACAGGATGTCATGCATGTTCTTCAGGTCAGGAGCCAGGAACTTCTTCTTAGGTTTAGCCGGGCCTTTCTTTTCCTCACTAAAAGACAGATGCAAAGAAAAAAAATGATTTTCTCTACCCTTTTGACTGTATAGACAATAAGGAGGTGGTGTGATCGCCAGAGAGACATGATGAAGGCTTCATACTAGAGAGAGACAATGGACGGAGCGGCGCTGATGTCTCCAGACACAGTGTCCAGGATCTCCATGGCGTTCTGCAGTTCCAGCTTCTTATACAGCGCCACAATACTGGACTCGGCCCGGTTGTCTCGGATCAGGATCTTCCGCAGGATTCGATTGTTGAACTTCATAAACCTGATATAGAGAGAAAAGGGATTACGTTGAGTAGGATGGGCAGCTATCTATGAAGGCCCAGTGAACAATGATGGTTAAAGAATAAGGTTAGGGTTTTTTGTTATTTCGTTTTTGTTGGTGTAAAAGTTTTGTAAGTTTATAGTTCCTAAGCTCAATCAAGAACATCCGACTGTTTGGCTTTTTGTAAGTTCAGGATCACTGTCCTGATGAATTATCTTTACTTTGCGGGCTACACTGTTCACCCAATACGGTTGTTACTAACCTCAAAACACCCTAAAGCTTAAAGCCAGTTAACCCCATACTACGTGCCAGAGTACAACTCTAAAACAAAGCATACAGCATACATTATATATCCTTTATAAGATTGCATGTTTACAATGAAAACTACGATTGTCATAGATTTTATCATTGCAGTGTTGAGAAAGCTACTTTTAAGATATAATTCTACAAACTACCATTGATTCTAATCAGAAAACCTAAAGTGAACAAATAAATAATTATATATATATATATATATATATATATATAAATAAATATAACTCACTCACTGCGAGGTAAACACTGACTTACTACATATTATATCACTAGGTTTATGACATGCTGTAGGTTTATATGTAAATGTAATTCATTTGAAATGCATTTGTTTATGATGCCCACATCCTCTAACCAGATAGATTTGCCACAGTAAGTGAAAGTAATTCTCAATAGTCAGTTATGGTCAGAATAAATACATTCTCACTCAGAAATCAGCCTTCTTGAGACTACAGAGTGAAAATAAACCCATTTAAAATCTAAATTGGGTTTTTCACAAAATAAATGAAGAAATAGTTACAGTTATTAGTTAATGCAGGTAACTACTGAGCTCCAAAACACAAAACACTCATTAAGTAAAGTAAAACATTTCACAGCTTTAGGAAGAAAAACATCTGTCACTGCTGATGGCGGAAGCTGAACACGACACCAAAGTGTGATTAGCTGTCAATTCCCACACAGTCCGGGAGTGAACAATAGCATTGTCTAACAAAACAAAAAAGAAGGAAACTGAGAGCAGGTAAACTAAAACCGCCATCTCTTTATCCAGTTTCACTGCAGATTCTTTCTCTTTAAGCGCAACGATATGAAGCAATGAGTACTTTAATACTTGTGGCTGTAAATAATCAATATGTGGTAATAAAAGCATCTTGTTAAGCAGAATGAGCACACTTCTGGAGAGAGAAAGTTCTTACTTGTCCTTCCAGTAGAAGTGGCTCCACTGTCCACAGAGGTCCTCTAGGCCAGCTATAGTGTGCTCTATGAGCTGAGAGCACAATGACACCGGTTAACACTGTGCAAAGTAATATACGGCACACCACATTTACAACAATCACAATCTGTAGCGTACCCTGCAGTGAATCTCTGCGTTGATGGTGTCAAGATTGCGGTTGGTTCTGCGGACGTTGATGAACTCAATCAAAGGTCGGATACTGATGCCCTGCGGAGGAGAAAGGGAAAGGTCACAGATTCAGCAGAACACGGAAAGATATTAGAGGACTTTTTAAGTTTTATTTTGTAATTCTTTATTTTTGGACAGTAGTTTAAAATCCAAACTGACTGTCAAAAGATTGGGCATTAAATAAATAAAAGGATACAGAATCTAGAGTCCTTACTGTAGCAGCAAAAAGCTCTTCTAATTTTTTGGTGGACAAAGACCTGTTAGAGTGTATCCAAAACACAGAAAAATTACGAGATAAAGAAATAAATTCTGATCTGGAATTTAAATCATGTGGTGTGTTCCAAACTTGAGTCTGTTTCTCTCTGACTGAGACTATTTGATTCAATTAAATCTAATACTAAGACGAAACACGAATATATACCGTTCTAAGTTAAAAAGACAAATGATTTCGCAGCAAACAACTGTGTGAAATGTTTTGAGTAGAAGCACACAGTCAGCCTCTTACCTGGAGAAAGACAGTGAAGAGGATGACAGCAATGGTGGCAGTGACGAAGAGCTGCTTGCGGCCGATGTTCTCGGGAAGGGTGAAGACCAAGGCGAATGAAATCGCACCTCGTAGACCCCCGTAGGCCAGACCAAATTGATCTTTCAAGTTAAATGGGATGGTGCGGAAAGGGTTAATGATCTGAGTCAGCACCAAGACACCTGTGATGGGAGGAAGAGCAACGTCGGGATGTTATTTTAGGTTGAAATCTGCACCAAATAATTTAACTGATAACTTATCAATGCTGTGTTAGCAGCTCGTTTCACGAACAATTTAAAATACAAAACACTCGAGCGACTTAAGGCAAGGCTGAACCACTGTGTTGCTGCCCTCTCTAGCTTCAAGCCTGTTTCAGTGTGCTTTGTTGCATCACTTTAGCACGGCGCGGTTCAGCCAAAACAACCTTTTTAAATGGGGGTTGAAGTTTAATTCAGTGTTTTGATATTTTAGCAGACCGTCAGCTCATAGCCACTAAAACAGTTAAAAGGCGCCCCGTGGAGTTTTCTTGTACACAAACAAAAGTCATATTTACATTCAGTGTTATTCTCTAAAATGAAAAATGTATTTTCCCCCTTATAATACATTTGCAAAGCAATTTTTTAAATATTTTAAATCCTATACCGTTTTAATACATGTTGCTTGTTGGCAGTCTTCTTCTTCCTTGCCTTTATTATAACTTGCGATTGGCAGTCGGACAGCATGAAACCAATCGAAGCGTGTGTGTCCTTGAGTGTGTGCACGACAAAAACTAGACAGGGACCCACTCGTAAAAACATTGCTTCGTAGCACTCCTGGCGGTCAAAAACTCCACAGGGCCCCTTTAAATCGTGCAACAAGACCAACAGATGCCAAGACAAGCATAAATACCCCCTGCCCTCTCCTTACCCAGACCCCTCCACACAAAAGCAAACAGCAATGTGAACAGGATGTAGCCCCAGTTCCACTCGTGTTCTGTTGTTATGGTGACTACCCCCAGGAAGAAGAAGATGAGGGTCTCGGAGATGGAGCCAAGCATCTTGACCACGTGGCGGATGGTTGTGCAGGAACGCTGGGAAACATTTTCTTCAACGTAGTACTTCATGGTGAGAGCACAGGTCACAATGCTGCAGAAAAGAAACATGAAGCTGCTGTGTTTACGTAGAATTCTTGCGCCATTGAAATATTTCAACCAGAAAAAAAGTGTTTGAATCTACTCACGCCATGATGGATGAGATGGCGAAGAGCTCGGCTACTAGATAGGCCAGGTAGCTGTACATGAATATGAAGAGCGGCTCGATTTCCCGGACCTTGGAGGTGAATCTCGTGGTGAAGGCGGCCGTGAAGCCAAACAGGATGCCGAAGCCCATCCCGCCGAGCCCGACCACGAAGAACCGCGCCACCCCGAGGAAAACGTCCACCGGCTCCACTTCCGGCATCTCCGCCACAAAGTTGAACATGTTGTACAACACCTGTAAAACACGTGCACACAAAAAGCATGATGAAGCGCTCATGCAGGCACACGGTCTTTTATGCACAGCTTTGCATGCACGCACGTGCACAAACGGCCCACACATCCCTGTGAGAGGTCGTGGGTGGTCAGGGGCTGCGGCCTCTAATGACACAGTTGCAGATAACAGTGATTTATTGTAATATTTACTCTGCACTGTTTGCAATTTGATAATGTCATTTCACTGAGCACACTCAGTGAAATGAGAATGACTCATGGAAACGGGGCATTTGCCAGAGCAACCAGCTTTGTTCCTTTTCCTCCTGTTCTGACAAAGAACAAGGAGCAACCCACTGCTGTTTCACGGTGGTGTGGCTGTTAGAAATATGCTGTCGGACTGCACGCCACCATTAACAGTGCGTTTTCAGAGAAAACAAGACATTTGTAGACATTGTAAATGATGCAAAAGACTACAGAATTGTAAAAGATACAATACACAATACTTAGAGCACATTTAATGTTTTCATTAAGTTGGTCAGAATCTATATTTGTGTCTTGCAATACTTTCCAAATTCCCCATTTTGTCAGCGGCAGTCTCGGCACCAAGCCAATTTGTTCTTAAATACTTTGTTTTTTTTAAAAGGCTAAATGATTTCCAATAGCAGCTGGGCATTGCAGATTTGGTGTGCTGGTGAGTTTTGACAGCAGCAGGACGCTGTATGTGGGATAGTCTCTAAATTAAGTGCAGTTCCCAGGGAGGAACATGCCAGCCAGTGCAACAATGTGGCTCACTGATGTGTTTTTACTAGTTTTTGGATAACAACGGCGCTGTATAGCACAGAGGAATAAGCTGTATGTCGACACAGACAATGAGTGTCAGTGGATCAATTCATTGTTGGTTGGGTCTTTTAATGGGATTTGCCGTTATTGAGAGAGAATACCAGACACGCTCTGGGGTGAGCCTGTCAAACACTAGGGTTAACAAGCCAAACGTTTATCAAAGGCAGATGTAAGATATAAGGCAGCAACGGTTCCCTCTTTTCACAGATGATAACCCGGCACTCTCAGTCAAAGGCGGAGCTGTTACAACCTTTCCCCTAACCAGTGGATGCAGTGCTCATCGGAAGTAGTTGTTCTTTTGGCAAACATTACATATTGTTTACATATTACATATGGGTGTAATTCTGCAAAACAAAGCCATCTGTGCAGACCATACCTGGGCTTTCCCAGTCTCCTGGGTAAATGTGTGTCTATACCCTCTCTGTATCAGCTCTGCTACTGTGTGTTAAACAAAAGGATAGCCACACCAAAACTAAGAGCAGGTTATTGTAAGTGTGTGTGTGAACACAATAACAAGAGGGTAAAGGGAGAAATTTGAGCATGAGCTCATTTCAGTGAAGTTTCGGATGATGTTGTCTGTAAGCGTTAACCCCTCCCTTACAGCCAGCATCAACTTTAGAAACTGGTTTGGCAGCATCTGCGCAAACAAGCATCCAACGTTACACGGCTCCGGTCTTTGTGGGGGCGTCTCTAACAACATCACGTCACTTCCATTTTTTAGTTATTTATCTATTCAGCAATCTTGTCAGTGCACAGACACACGTTATGTTCTCATACAGGCGTACTAACCCAGAAAAGAGAGTCAACTAATCGTACGGTATCTTGCGAAACCTGAGCTGAGCCGCTAAGAGAAAGAATAGAAAAGCGTCAGACAAAAAGATAGTGGATCTGCCATTTTATATAATAGAAGCATTGGAATTAGGGATCCAAATTGGGTTTTAAAATGGTAGGTGGAGTCGCAATATGGTGAACAATAAGTGTGTGATTCTGCTTTCACACTAGCTGCAGCACTTTCCCAATGAACCTTTATTTTATCTCTCCACATGTAAAGGCCCACTGGCATGCTGGCCCTGAGTGTCAAATGCCATTAACACAATAAGAACAGTTTGTAATGACAACTTGCTCATTGCTCTGCATGTTTTCACAACAAGCAGGAGCCCTGAGGAAGTCAAAGTACGCCAACGTGTTGCAGAAAGACTCAGCTTAGAGTACACAAAAAACACACCAACCAACCCCACTTTGTTGGACTCGGCCTCAGCCCACTCACCACAGTGACGGCATCATTGAAGAGGCATTCTCCAAACACCACGATGTAGAGCTGCTCGTTCACAGACACGTCCTCAAACACGCTCAGCACGGCCACAGGGTCCACGGCCGAAATGATGGTGGCAAACAGCAGGTTCTCCTGGAGGTTGATGTCCTGCACGCCGAACGCCTCGATCTGGCATATGGCGAACAGGGACATGCCGATGCCGATGCTGTTCCACAGAGTGCCCACCACTGCAAACCACAGCACCTGCAAACACAGAAGGAAGACATTAAAATGGCTCTACAGGAGAAGAAGACATTGAATGTGGCTCGGGAAAGCTGATGTGTGTGACGGACCGTGCCGATGTTCTCGAAGAAAGGCCTGGTGGGCATGAAGTATCCAGAGTCGAGGACAATCGGGGGCAGCATGTAGAGGAAGAAGACATTGCTGCTGAGCACAGCAGGGGGCTCCTCGTGCACAGAGTGCATGATGCCACCCACGATCAGACCGATGGTGATGAGAAGGCAGGACTCTGGCACCCAGATGGTGATCTTTTTGTACACATGGAAACCTGAGAAAAGACAATTGGTTCAAAAACAGGAACAAGGCCACCTGTCTGAAAAGGTCACAAGATAATCAGAGGCTTGGATCGTAATCCATCACCAGCACATGTTATTCACCAATTTTTGCGAATGAAGCCAGCAGCACCCAAAGAGTGATCTCAAATGGTATCTGTATTCTTTCGTAATCCATTGTAAACACTGGCATATTCGCCTTTTCCGCGTCTGGAAACGCCTGGGGGCCATTATCGGGGATAATCGGCGGCAGAATCGAGACACCGCCGGTTGGTTTGGGTGGGATTTCCCCTCTGGAGTCATGCAGAAGACTTGAGAACGTGAAAATGACGAGCAAAACTCCCGTTCGTAAATCCATTGTGCACAAACCCATAGCCTCTACACAGCAATCCAACTTGATGTGACTATCAATCAATTCATTCAAATCCACAGTCGAAAAGAGAGAGAGAGCAAAAAACAAGCAACTCAGCGTCTCCTCTTAAAGTTGATGATTTCAACTGTTCCTGCAATCACTCCATCTTCAACAGCGAAGCCTTAATTAACTTTCCTTCGCGCTCAGGGTTGCATGGATCCGGATTGGTCTCCTTCAAACTGCGGGACAACACACCTGTGGTTTACCTGCGGCGCGTCCTCGAGTTCCGATACAGGCTGGGCGCGGCCCCGAGCCCGGCTCTGATTGGGTGTCACCTTGAAGCAGATAAAAAAGGGTGGGGCGCGGTGTTTCTGCGAGCCATTCAGGGACCACTCTTGAGTTTCGGTGACACCAGTTTCCTGAACAACACCCAACACCTGAGTTTCCACTCTCACCTGTCACTTAAAAAATGTCCCCTGATTTATCCAAAGTGGTTCCGACCGCAAATGTGAAGAATTAAAACATATTTCTTGACTAATGTGGAGCGTTTTCTTCCTTTAAATGTGTATTCTTTAACCAGTTTACCTCTTGATTCCAATGCTTATCATGACATAAAAAAAATCAGTCGAGATAAAAATGTTTGTAGTAACCAAACATCTCGTTATCTAAGATATTATGTCAATATCAGAATGAAGTATCTCTAAACCGTTGTTAGTTTTTACTTTCATCATTACAACGTTTCAATGACATATGATTCAGTAAAAACAATAGTCAAATCTCTTAAAATCATTTTGAAATTCTGAATTTTGACTTTTAATAAGTATATTATGATTCTCATAATCTCTTACCTTTCCTTAAAAAAATAATTTTGGACCTAGTATCTCATAATAATTTTCACTCAGGGGCTATTTTTAAATTATTGACGTGTGGACTAGTGTTGAATCTCCTTTTTAATTAAATTAAAAAACAACTCCCACTTTCTTTGGACCCTCCCCTTGGCTTAGAAAAAATAAATCAATACCCTCCTACAATATCCGAAACGGATCTATTATGACAAACAACGATACTTTACAAAAAAGGAAACTTATTTTGGATTAAAGAGCTGCTTTAGCCAGATCAACTGTGACTCACAGTGGGTGTTTATTATTCGTATTAATCATAACGTGTGCCTCCATAGTATTCAATTGACAGAGATGTTGTTATTTGGCTCAATGTGAAAACACCCACGCTTTCTCCATGAACGTATTAACCCACCTGCAGCAGCGCGTGGGACGGTGGCTCCCTGCAGACCAGGCCGACCGCGCCCCCCTGTGGAGAGGAGAAGGATCTGCGTACAGCGGAGCTATTACGTCTCGATGTGTCAGAGGGAGTCAGGGCGAGTCTTGACTGCAGACATCGTCGAGTAGCAACCAGGATGCGCATCAATATGAAAAGACACCTTCGCATTTCTCTAAACGGTATGACATATTTATTTTTTCCGCGTGTGTTTCTCATGTGACATCTCATCATTTAACGGTTTGTCGAAGGGCGTTTGTTCAAACCGGTGGATGCTGTCGTAAAGCGAGACCAGCACCTCGCAGCAGGAGCGGAATAAGACATGTTTACAGCCATTGGCAAGATCTCAAATGTCCATTTATCTGTTTCTATTCTTATACATGGCGTGGTGTTTATTGTGCTGTACGTCCTGCAGCACCATGCGGCAGCCTTGCCGAATGAGCATCAGCAGATATGTCATGACGCAATAGTTGTTATTGTCCGAGTGTCAGAGGATATATATGTATCCAGAAGTATATATTACTGGCCAATACTGCCATAAATAGATTCCCATTTGGACAGCTCTGGGGCAGAAATAGGCTAAACAGGCTGGATGACACCCTGTTTCGCGCAGGTAAAGGCCAGGAGACTGTTCATGTAGGATTATGGAGAATGATGTTATATATATGTTTGTTTTTGTGTCATACACCTTACATCTAAAACCGGATGTGTTGCTCATGAAGCAATGGTGTCACGCTATTGCAGGCCTCCCGGATGCTCCCAACAGAGCGTAAAAGGATTAGATTTGATCTGTTGAATCATTGTTTTCACTCTTTTCATAACAGAGAGGGAACTAAAGGACACTATGTGTGGCTCGCCTCTGACTGTCTCCTCTTTTTCTGTCTGTCTCCTGCATCTGTGTGTGTGTGTGTGTGTGTGTGTTTCTCCTGATACTTGGAGTAAAAATTAACTCTGTGTGATCCTGTAGCATCATCCTGTAGTTCATTCATCACCACTCATCATCATCGTCGTCATCAAAGGTTTCTGCTGTCTTGGTAACAAGTGCTTCTCTATAGGCTACGTGACGTTACTTCCTCCTCATGCTTGTGTTTGCATGTTATGTGCGGATAAATGTTTTCCTCCTGTGAGTGAACACGTTTGCATATTTTGTACCGCTTTCGTCAAACCCATGTGGTCAGCCGTGTCCACGATTGTAGGTCGGACTCATGGGGACGCAGATCAGCACAGCTCAGCTCTGGACCGAACCAGGATCAATAGATTGAAATTGAGAGGGACACCATGGCTACAGGAAAAGGGAGATGGCTAGAGCAAAAAAAGGGGAGGGATGATGACAAAGCAGAAGAAGGGGGACATTCGGGAGAGATTTAAAGGGGTGAGGAGGAGGTGAGTTAAGGATGAGGACATCTGAGAGGGAGGCACTGCAGTGCAGCCGGTGCTGACAGCATCTGCAGGGGGCCAGCTGTGTGCCGCCAGACTCACTAACTGGGTCAGTTTAGTCTCCAGACCGCCCCAGAGGACTGTCAACCACGAGTCCCACCTGAATCCTCTCTGTCCTCTCTGCTGTTACTACCTCACTTGCATCCTTGCTGCATGTATACTATCTTTTTTTCTTCTTTTGTTGAAGCTGGAAAACCATAGTTGTCAGTCTCCCACTGACCTGTTTCGCCTATCTTGGGTCAAAGGTCACCTTTTGCTCAGTGGCACTTCATCAGTGTGGCTGCTTGCTGCCCCTATCCAGAAATCTACATCAACTAACTATGATCTGTCAATAAGAGCTGAATCGTTGGTAATCTAATAATCATTTCAAGCAAGAATACCAAACGTTCTCTGGTTCCAGCTTCTTATAAATGACAATAGGCGGCTCTTCACTGAATTACATCATTATAATTTCAATATTATCGGCTTTGGAACTGTTGGTCGAATAAAAAAACTTTGAGAAGTAACTTTGGGTTTGTAAGAAGTGTGATGGGCATTTTTCACTATTTTAAAACTGATTAGTCAGGAAAATTATCAGCAGATTAATTAATAGAAAAAATCGTTACATTTTAATTTAGTTTATGATTGATTGATATGATTAATTAATAGATTAGTCATTTATTCCATACAATGGCACGGGATGTGTTCAACAGTCCAACCAACAGTCCAAAATCCAAAGATATTCAGTTTATAATCATGTAAAACAAATGAAAACAGCAAATCTTCGCCAGGTGGAACCAGAGTCAGTTTGTCATTTTTGCAATAAACGGTTAAAAAAGTTGTTGTTAATCAATTGTCCATCCACTGATCAGTTAATTGACAAGACGTTTGAGCTCCGCTCCCAGGCGATCTGTCCTTCATCAAGCCGACTTCATGTGGCTGACAGATGTGATGATGATCTGAGGATCCCTGTGGCTTTCCATTAGATCCACTGTGGGTTTTCTCGAGAGCCTCCCACAGTGCCCCTGGCAGATTACAGCATTTTAAAAGACAGCTCCCATTGACAACGACTCCCACACAGAGTAATGAGGCAGAGCATCCGCGCCGTAATTGTCATCCGTTATGGTCTCCCACGAAGGTGCCAAAACAGAGATTAAACTGGCAGAGAGCGTCACACTCACACTCTGGATTTAGCGTGTGTGAATACGCACATGACTTTCAGTTCATTTGTGCGTGGTGTGTGACGTTAAAACACATTCACGAAGTATAAAAATAGACCTCGGATGCTGAAGGCCTTACACATGAATGCACAGCGGTACACACACACATTTGTTCTCCCTTTGTCGGTGTAATGGCAAAGACAGACAGACACTCACAGTAGCAGATATGCCCTCAACCCACCAGGAGTGTGTATGTTACGGCTGAGAGGGAGAGAAATTGATGCCACTTGATCACTCTGAGCAAAGGCAAGTGTGTATTTGTGTGTCACACACACAAGCACTAAAGAGGAAATGTGAACTGAGTCTGACATGCCACAGGAAATGCAAACATTTGTGGCAAGTTAGAATGCGGCAAGTTGAAGCACCTTTCAGCTCAGGTCAGCCATGAGACCACCTGCTGCATCCTTTTCCTTTGCTCTTAACCTTTCACATTTTCTTCACGCACCCTTTTTTTCTCCCTCTTCCTCTGTGTCTTACTTCTCCTCTGGTTCATATTTGTGCATAGTTGTGCCTTGCAGGAAAAGTAAATCAATATACTGACAGCTTGATTGTCTTGTTGCTGATTCTCACCCTTACCGTAGTGTTTCCACCGTGTGACACACTTGGCACGGTTTCAGTTTCCTCTTCTCTCGCTGTTGCACATAAACTTGGCAGGAGCCGTGTTATTCGCTTAACAACACAAGCAGCCATTCACGCCGTGGCTTTGCAGCGTCATCCAAAATGAGCATCGGACGTAACAATTTCACTATGCAGTGCACCACAAGCATTTCCTGGATGTGGTGGAGTAATCGTTGTTCTATAAATGAGAAGGTTGTACCTGTGACGGTTGTAACGGTTGCACTGTTTATATAATAAAAGAGGGATTTTAGTGAATTCTCTGTTGGATGTTAGATATGAAGAGATTTTAAGCATTTCCAGTCCGTTTGTTTGACATCAACTACTCGTGTTAGAGCAGCATATTAGCGAACTGCACGTCAGATTACTATCAAGATTGGTATTAATATTCATGGCCCCCAGAGGATGATTGTTGGAGATTTCAGTGACCCCCCCTGTCCTCTTGTGTTATACCACTGGCAGGTCAAAAATGTCATGTTATGGACATTAGTCCATGACAAATTATTATGGTACATTTATGTGACATTTTCAGGTTTCCAATATTACTCAAAGATTTGAAGAATCAGAGAAATTCATGCTTTTCAAGATAAATCCTTTTGATTTAAAATGACTTCCTGTTATTTTTTCCACAGAACAAACAACATATACATTGTTTGTCACATCAAACTTTTGTGTGTGTGTGTGTGTGTGTGTGTGTGTGTGTGTGTGTGTGTGTGTGTGTGTGTGTGTGTGTGTGTCTTTTGGTGGCTGCTAGAGGCGCTTTATTTTTGATTATGCACTGTTTAGAGAACAAAGATCCTCAGACTAATAAAATCACCCTAAACAGGACCAAGGCAATAAATACTTTATTATAAATTAAGATATCCACAGTGTCCTAGAATATTATGTCTGGAGCGGATTGGCTTAATGCATGAAATGCATTTACCTCATTATATATCTGTCCGTGCATGTTTGTTTGACATTAGTCCGTCAGAAAGGTGAAAGAACACCAGGAAAGCACATGTAGCACCAGGAGATAGAAGGTGAAGATTCAGTGTGCTGCGACGCTCTGTTTCATTTTCCTACAGCTGTGTGAAAAGTCACATTTTTCCCCCACTGATTTTTCCCTCCACTGCTTGTATTAGCACATTATCAGAGGGAGCGAGATAAGTCGGCACTGACAGGAAACTACTCAACTCTCAATCCCTGCTCATCTCACAATGGAGCATCATGCCAAGACATCCAACCTCCATTAGTTATTCATCGCTTTAACCGTGTGTATTGGAGACTGTAAAGTGATGCTGAGCATTTCCGCAGCCAGTAGCAACCTTCATGGCTAATTGCCAGCAGCTTTCTAATTCTGTCTAATTTCTCTGAGCTCAGCTACCGTCTCAATGAAAGGATGACATCAGTATCAAGTAGTTGCCCAGTCTGTGTCAGCTGCATCACTTTGTTGTTTTCTTCTTTCAGACCTAACATTGCCAAACGTGTGAGCACTCAGATCAACACGCAAGGGAAACCAGCCAATACCTCAAAGGAGTGACGTGACAGACGGAGTTTTGATTTTGAGTCTGCTCGACATCGTTCCACTCTTCAGCTCTTTTTGTTCTGAAAATCCATCCTCAGCGCCGCCGTGAGCCCACCATGTCCGGGAAGGAGCGCAGCCCCCGCCATCGGCCGTGGTCGGTCTACCGGGCCAACACGTTTGATCTCTCAGCTGAGATGATGGGGCTGGCTCTATCGGGTAACTAAGTAACTGCTACCATGGTAACCTGTTTACCTCATTGGCAATGAAATACCAGGGCGTTAAAAAAAATGAGCTCCCCCCCTCCTCTTTTTCTCTCTGTCCTACAGGCAACAGTGAGGATCCAGACGAGCCTGTGCTGGAGTTTAGTGTGGGTAAGTTTAAGGAGAAGAGTACAAGGTAACACGCACAAACACTTGCTATGTCTCCTTTGTGGTGCAGGGACACCGATTCCAAAGTGAAAAGTCAATTCACGCACACACGTGTCACCTCTGACTGATCATCAACCGGCAGGAATTGGATTTTTTTCTCTCCTTTAGAATAAATCGAGGAAGAAGCCATGAATACACCGCTGCACACTGAATGTGGATCAGACTGTGTGTTCTCTTCCTAGAACTTACACCTTGTGTTGACAGAGTCCGCTTCATTGACACCAGCAGGCCTAATGAGTCCAAGCTAGTCGAGCATTACCAAATCTCATGACCAGAACAAAACCAACAATGAATTGATCCTAGTAACGACACAGGCAAGTGTTGTCTGTGTGTCCAGAGCCCGATACAGCTCATTCCTCTTTATTGTTGCTCCATTGTTGCTCCACACAAAAACACATTAATGAGTAACACCGCTGCACCGGCTGACGTCTTCATTCGTTATGATTTATTTACACTGTTGTTCATTTTGAGTCAATCCCAAATACAGCTGTTGTGGTAAAAACTGACTAGTGCACCAAATGTGTATTAAGCCCTAGATGAAAATAGTATAGTAGTGTAGTAAAAAGAAATAGTATATTATATAATAGTATAGTTTCTCTCAGTAGTTGGCGGAGAGACCAAGAAGGATATTGGACTTTACATTTACCCAGACACACAACTCCAAATGAACGATGATGTTGTTCCATGTCTGTAAATATGCAACTGTTTGCAATCATGTTCACCATATTAGTTTAAGTTGATAATATAACAATGTTTACAGCTGCCCATAATTAGGCAAAAACATCATTTGATACTGCTTTGGATGATCTTGACATATGGTCATTGATTGGCTCAAGAGTCGACAACATCATTTGTGTGCAGTGACTGAAAGCATTACCGTAAACAAGTGCTGCAAAAATACAGTATTACACGTTCCTCACATGGCCAAGGATTAGTGACCATCCCACCATTAAATCCCACCGTCTGTAATCTCTCTCTGTGTTTCTACGTTGGGGCAGCCTGCAGCGAGCTGGTCACTCCCTCTCTGGACCGTAAGCCAACCAGCTTCGTCGCCATCAGCTGCACCACTCCGCCCCAGGCCTTCTGGACCAAGCACGCTCAAACTGAAATCATAGAGGTACACCACTGTTCGCTTTCCCTTG